TTTCCTGGTTGCCGAGTTGAAAGTGGGTGACAAAATGCACTCGCTTTGCGCACACACACAAACACACACACACAGACAGCCTCTCGACAATATGCGTTTTTGCTGGCGTTGCAATAGCGCTGCACAGCAAAAACACATAAAAATGAACTCGTTTCACAACTCAAATGCATGTCTTGTCATGGAGGATGCGGAGTCCAAAACCGAAGACGACAGCCTAATTATCGATCGCGCTGCGAGAATGCTGCCGAATGTAAATCAGTGGTAAGCCACTAGTCATTTTAAGTATCAATTAAATCACAACGTACTTCACCGTGATCTACGAGTGATAATGCGCGAAACAGACACTGACGACGCCTTAAAAACACTGAAGCTTGTCTTCTGTCGAGAAAACCATTCAGCTGGTAGTTTTTTGCAGAGAACGAAATAAACAATAGGAGTCGCAACAAGCTGACCATTAGGCACACTGTACTGCTCAAAGCAACTGGAAAAGCTGTTAGCTACATAATTAGAAAATCATACCATAAATTAATCCTGTTTCATGTATTCCATGTAAACACCAACAAGATCTAACAAGAAAGTCAACAAAATCAGAATAACTATCCGCTACTGTTTCTGTGATTGTACGCGGGAAGTCCCATAGTTTCTGGCTTGAATTCCTCCAGACTTTTCAGTATCTGACTTATTTTATGCCGAATATCTTCCGGAACTTTCATATATGTTAAATCAGGAATCATAACAACAGGCATGCCAGCTGCCAATGCTGCACGCACTCCATTAGCTGCATCTTCGAAAACAAGAACGTTTGCTGCTTTTTCAGGTCTGTCTTTAAATCGATCCATTGTTACTAGAAATGGATCCGGAGCAGGTTTGCCGCGTTTGATAGCCGGATCATCGCCCGATAATACCTAGAAAGAGTTATTAATTCTGGTGCCAAAAGAGTTATTAATTCTTTTGGGTTCCAGAGTTATTAATTCTGGTACCAAAATTTTAGCTTTTTCATAACAGACACTCAGGCGCCCGTAAGGATTGAATTCGTAAACAGGCGAAGGCATTATTCTGAAACTTGAGCTATTATGCGTTTTTGTCGTGCAGTGCTAGGGCGCTGAAACAGGCAGCAAAAACGCATATTGCAACGACCCTGTCAGTGTGTGTGTGTTCGTCTGTGCGGGTGTTTCAACTCGCCAACCACATAAGCTTTGGAGCTGAAATTTTGCCAGTGTGTTCCCCAGCCAAGTGCCACCCCAGGACTGCGGTATCATTCTTCACGCACGTCTGGGCCCCGCGTACGAGCACGTGAAAGCTTTCTAGCTTTTCTCGTTCCCGAGTTAGCGTGCTCATACGAGCACGCTAACTCGGGAACGAGAAAAGCTAGAAAGCTGAAACCTTGGAGGAATGTTCCCTACCCGTCTATGACAAAAAAATTTCAAATTCAGCTGTCCAGGGGTATCCGGGGCCTACGTACGGGCACGTGAAAATTATGGCGGGAAAATTTATAACTCGAAGATGAGAAAAGCTAGAAAGTTGAAATTTTAGGGGAATATCCCCTACTCGTGCGCGACCCAAAGTTTTCAAACTCAGCTCCTTAAGACCGACCGGGGCTCGTGTACGGGTAAGTGAAAATTTTTGGCGCGAAAATTACTAGCCCAGGAAAGGGGAAAGCTAGAGAGCTGAAACTATACGGCAATATTCCCTACTCATGCACGAGCAAAATCAGATGTTCGGAAGCGCCCGGGCTCACGTACGAAGGTGTGGAAATTTTGGCGCGAAAATTACTAACCCGGGAGCAGGAAAAGCTAGAAGGCTGAAACTTTCGGGGAATGTTTCCTACTTACGTAAAACTAAAAATCAGGTGTTTGGAGGCACTGGGGCCCACTTACGGGCACGTGTAAATTTTGGCGCGGAAATTACTAACCCAGGAGCGGGAAAAGCTAGAAAGCTGAAATTTTACGGGAATGTTCCCTACTCATGTGCAACCAAAATCAGTTGTTTGGAGGCGCCCTACATCCATGTACGCCACATGTGAAAATTCTGGCGCGAAAATTACTAACCCGGGAATGAGAAAAGCTAGTTGGCTGAAACTTTAGGGGAATGTTCCTCACTCATGTACGAGCAAAATCAGATGCTTAGAAACACCGATCCCACGTACGAGCGCTGGAAATTTTGGCGCGAAAATTACTGACCCAGGAACGGGAAAAACTGGAAAGCTGAAACTTTCGGAGAATGTTTCCTATTCTTGTACGACCAAAATCAGGTGTTTAGAAGCATCCGGGGCCAACGTACGGGTACGTAGAAATTTTACCGCGAAAATTACTAAACTGGGAACGAAAAAAGCTAGAAAGCTGAAACTTAGGGTAATGTTCCTTATTCATCATGTGTGACCAAAAGATTTCAAGTGCGGCCTTGAAGCGGACCAGCAACTTTCGACCTTTTTTGCGACCAATAACTTTCCATTTGTCGGGTCACTGAAGCCGACATCTACACTGACATACCACACAGTTGCACAATTAACTTCCCGAACTTTGACGTCTAGCATGTCACAGGGTTAACTACTGTGATCCCTTGCGATTTTGCTACAGCACGAAAAGTGCAAAAACGCATAATCGCATCGGCCCGCCTGGTGCGTTCCAGCCTGGATTAATTTTGGTACCAGAAATCTCACGTGTTCCTACGTTATGTCTAGACGTACGCGGCAAAGGGAGGTTGAATTTGAGTCTGCGGGGGTCATATGCAGGCAAAGGGCATTCTCCTGAGATTTCAGCAACCTAATCTTTCTGGTTCCCGAGTCAATAATTTTGGAGCCAAAACTTTTAATAGTCCATGTGCCAGACCTAGACATACGCGTGAATTGAATTTATAGACGGTCATGAATATTATCCTAAAATTTTAGCTTCCTAGCTTTTGTGGTTCGCGAGTTTTTAGTTCCGGTGCCAAAACCTTCGCGTGTCCATATCTGAGAATTAGGCATGCGTATGGCTGAATTTACATGTAGGCTGAGCCAGCATTCTGAAATTTCTGCTGCCCAGCTTTAATGGTCCTCGAATTATTGATTATGGCGCCCAAAAATTTCATGCATCCCTAGGTGGTTTAAGCATGCGGAGAAGCTGAATCCGGGAAGACTAAGAATATTCTCAGTTGGTACTGAGGAGCATTATTATCTCGTTTGAAACACTGACCACTACTAGATCACGAAGAGGTTAGCGACTAGAAAAAGGAGGATCATAGAGTGCTGATAAAACATGAATACTTATAAAATAGAAACGTCAGTAAAATCAAAAACGATCCAATACTCTACCCTCAACTGCTTGTGACTTGCAGCTTTTCGCTAATTTCTATGACTGAAACATTAATGCAGTTTTAACAATGTTTCGAAACATGCCCCCTGTGAATCGCAGCGAGTGGCATAGCTGCACCCGAAACGGAGGAACATCTCACCGCACTGATTACCCGGGCGATCCCAGTTGAATTCAGTTCCTCTTCCTCGCTGCATTCTTCTATGATATTTACGCCTAGTCAGCAGTCTATTCTCATAAACGCTTATTTCTAATAATTAAATGTAATGATTGTCCGTATCGTGTTTTAACTTCCCTGCTTTCCTTCTTTTCCGTTTGCTCCTTCACGCTTTAACTTCCCTTCTTCCCTTTCTTTCTCACTTTATTTGCCCTTTCAGTCATATCTGTTTCTTCCTGTCATCCGTCTTGCGAATCAGTTACATGACTATTCAAAACATGGCGGGTACTAATGATTCCCACTCCTACCGCATGCAGTGTTCGGTCTTGTATACAGCTAAGGGTTGAAACACAGAATGCGTCATAAAATATCTTCATACACATGACATTCAAGTGAAATCATTCCATTCTTCTATTTCAAAAAGTTGTTTTACATACCTTTAGCGTAATTAGTTCAGTGAGTTCTTTGTGATTTCGAGTTTTGAGCTCAAATTCATATTTGTTTGAGCCAGTACATATAGCTGTGGGTACAGAATGTGCTTTCAGGTGTCGAACAAGTTTCATAACGCCGGGTAGCACGGTGCATTTCGGCAGCAGTTCTTCGGCCATGTTATCATACCACTTGCAATAATCATCCACGTCAACTTTGCCAGAAAGTCCCTCCTAAATCAGTTCAACCAGAAATATGAACAGGAGTGTGGATACGACGACGGGGAGAGAAAAAAATCGAACAGACAGTATACACAAACTGGAGTTGTGAACTCACGATCGAAGGGCTTGGCATAACCGTTCCTGGCGTGTAACTGCACTAACACTGAATATCCGCACAGACAGCTAGGGTGGTATTGCTCGTTTCAAGTATTGTCAAGTGAACATAGAAAAGTTGTGTGAATTTCTAAACAAAATGTCCAAACAAAAAATTTGGGAAATAATCTTGATACACTCTGAAGCCTACAGACATAAACATTAGAATCCAGGGTGGAACGCACCGGACGATCATGCGTTTTTGCACGAGACTTGAAGTACTCAGGTCATTAACTGCATGAATGGTTGTTGCTTTACACCTACCTTTTGCGATC